TTCTAAATAGTTTTCACCCAGCATTCAAGGGAACTGATTCCTAGTACACGGTACTGTTTGCATGTTTAGGAGCTACATAACTATATATATAGTTATATCAGTAAAAACCGAAGTACAAACAGTTAAAATGTATAAGGGGTTTGGCTAAGGCATATGGTGTAATTAGAATTGTTTTCAATCAACACTGACAGCATGAGTACGATTCTAGCCTGAATCATGGAGATAAAAACTTCAAATTGAATTGCTTATCACTAGCAATTTGTGTGGAGCTTTCTGCAATATAATATTGTATAGTTCCAATTTTTTTGTTAGTCCCAAAAATTTCGTGAAGCATAGATTTTTGAAGAATTTGATGAAATTTTGACCAGCAAAAATTTGGAGCTATATACATTATAATAGTTGCTTGCTTTTATTTGTATATTTCCTTTTTTGTATATTTTTAGTTAAATCCGGACACAGTATGGCTTCGTGAAGAATTAGGCCCTAACACTTACTTTCCTGATCCTGTTACAGGGCAGTTTCAGTTTTCATCAGAAGTACCAAGTGGTGCGATCTTCTTAGTCGAAGGATCTAATCATTCCAATGCAACAGCTATTCCCTCTGACTCGGCCATTTCGCTTAACACTGCTGGTCCTTCCACACCAAGGCCACTTTTTCATGCTAGGAAACCTTCCTCTACTGTAAATGTAAAAATCATCAAAGCTGAAATGAAGCGCAACTCATCTGGAAAGGCAGAATTTACTTTCATATCTCAAATTTTTGTTGGTGTCACTGATGCCACTGCAAATGTTGGCTACATTTCTAATGAAATTCAGAAAATATGGAGTCATGAATATGATTTGGTCACTAATGATGGGCTGCCAATAATAGACTGTCCAGGAACACAAGGTATACAGATAATTTTTTACTGATAGTTTGCTATTAACTTATGTACGTACCATTTGTTGAAGCATTTATTTGATATGAATTGTACTTTGTTTAATTAGGTTTAAAATTCTGGAAAACTGACAGTAGAAAGATTTATGCTGTTAAGTCTGAGAGAACTGGAGTTCTTACCCCTGACAGTGAGGATGAAATTGAGCCTCTTATCAAGAGAAAGAAAGTTGCTTCTAAGGCAAAATCTTTAACAAGTGATATTAAATCAATCCGCAATGATCTGAAGTTTTTGATCGATCATGTTCCACCTAATGTGAAAATTCCATTGGCATTGTACAAGAGGGCACTTGAATCTTTTTCGTGCCAGATTTGTAAGAGCATCATAGTCCCACCTGCCATCTTTTCCAGATGCTGCAAGCGTATTTTGGGGTGTCAAATCTGTGTCGACACTTGGTACCAGGGAAGTGGAGCACAAATGCTAATGAAGAAATGCCCATTATGTCGTTTTGATAGAGCATATACTGAAACTACCACTATAAGGGGGCTCGATGATTTCCTGACAGTACTGAATGAAATTATCACGTTTATGCCTTATAATGAAGATGAAAATTTTGCTGGTGGATCAGGCTCTGGTGATGAAAGTTAACTGATGCAAGCCTGTGTAAGCACTGATGACATTTAACTTTAACCCTTGTATTTAACCCTTCTGTAATTCTATTTAACCTCTTCACTTGTTTTCAGTTATATTCAATAATTTAATCGTTTATTTATCCCAGAATCATTGCTATATTTACCTAGTTTAGGTTTGTTACAAATATTTCACGAGTCTTTTATCCAAGAATGCCAAAAGTCTCAGTTGTAGTACTACATCTCTGATTTTGTCATGTCAGCATGTTGATACCACACCTATAATGTTGGCCACCACACCCACAATAATAAATCTAGTGATTTTATAGTAATAATAATAAGAATTCTTTTATTATTATCTATAAAATATAAATAACAAATAGGCTACACGATACAATAATGAAAGGAATATCATTTTGGGTTTTTATTTCTCTCTGCTCTCTTTCCTTAGGCTTAGTCTGAGCTTCTCAGTTTTCCTCTTATTTCAGCCTGTATAATAATAACACTAATAATATTAAAACATGATAAAATTCATAATCATACTCTCCAACCTCAGAAAGACTCAGTGGTCTCTTAAAAGCACTTCCTGGACTGGACTTTTGTTAGACATTTCAGTCAGTCAGCTAGCTCAAAGGAAATCTCATAGTTCTATGTCCTAACACAGAAAGAAATAGCAGTAAATCCATGATAACACGCACAGTCCACAAGTAGTCTATCTACCTCAGCTCCACACCCACTGGCCCTGCCTATTAATCTATGCCTAATATGCAGCATGATATTCAATTTTCAAATTTTGTTTTTCATTCAAAATGATGAATCATGATAATAACAATGAAAACATAATAATTATTATTATAGTAAGAATAATAAGAACAATATTTGTACAGTTATAAAATGAGAAACTAGCTAAACAAATGAGAATAATGATAATGTTTTACTATTGAATAATACTATTGAATATGGATTGGCCACAATATACACTGACCATAATACATCTTTGAGTTAATAGCAATCAAAATTGAATTTAAAACTTTTTTTTAATTTACTCAAAAATTGAGCTAAAGTCCCTGTACTACCGTATATCGGGTATATTTCAATGCATTAATAATTTCGGAAAAAGCAATCCATTGCGAAAATAAATATTATGAAATTTTAAAATATGCGGATAAAAAGGAATAAAAGATATGTGGTATTGTACAATTATTATGAACACGTGGCTTCATAACTATCCATGGCTACATTCTAGTCTAACTCGAAGGCCATAAAGAGCCTTCTTTGCCAGTTAGAAGTGTTGCTAATGTTGATTCAGAAGTGGAGAAGTCAGCAAATGCTTCGATTGACTTACCAGGCCAGGTGGTTGATGGAAATAATAGCAAGTAAAATATTTTCGGAATTCGGAATATAAAAGGCTTCCGAATTATTCCATCATTGAACTTAATATTTCCACGACTTTTCATGCATTGAAATATACCCGATATACGGTATATATCAGGGTTGTTGTCAATTAGTTTGTTTTTTAATCATTACTATTACCATTACTTTACAAAAATCTTCATTACATTACCATTACCATTACAATTTATAGGTTATACCACCAATTATATTATCATTATTATTGAAACTATCTAAATTACCATTACCATTACTTTAGAAAGTGTACTACATTTGCATTACAATTAGCACAAAATTGCAAGAAACTGAAAGCTTTTGATTATAATAGTAATTTTATTTTAAGCTTTAAAAACTTAATGTTAATATACATTATGTGTAGAGTTAACTTTAAAAGGAGTTTTTCAAATTTTTTTGGTATTAAAAGAGCACATGCTAACTGTCACACTCTAGTTAGCAAGTTAACACTAAGACATAACCAATGACTGATAGCAAGATACTCTTGCTGATAGTATAGTGATAACACACACCATCTTACTTAATCCATGCAATTACCTATTACCATTACCATTACCTTATCTCTACTATTAATTACCATTTGCCATTACCAATAGAACAAAATTAGCCATTACAATTACCATTACCATTACAGCTAAAAAGTAATATTACCTAATTAATTACCATTATAATTATCATTGCAACAACCCTGGTATATATAGTTAGTACAGGGATTTGGGCCAAATTTTGTCAAAAATGACTATGAAAAAATTTTCTGTTTTTATAATTTATTTCAATACATATACATGTTCTTATATTGCATAGCAAGTTTGAGCTAATTTTGAAGAAAATTAATTTTTAATGATTTTAAAAGTTGCTTCAAAGCACTAGATCTATTATCAGCTCATAAAGAATGGTGGAATGTTTAGATCATTTAGTATGCTTTGTGAGAAACCCTTCATATGTACATGTACAATGTGATTGTCTTGTGATTGTTAATTATTCTTAAGGTGAGGGTTTGGACAGCAGTCCATAGTACAGCTAATCCTGATGTTACTTTTGTGTACAGTCCATATAGTAGGTGGGTCTAGTAGTGTAGACCTACCACTGCATAGAGGGATATAATAAGAACCAGTGATTGATTAATGTTTTTAATGCACTTTTCATGCATATATAGTGTCGAGTGTAATGCTGTTTTGTCTTGGTTAAAATTTTCTTTTGTTTCCTAAGAAATTCTGTTGTGGTATTGCTGTATTATCCCACACTGCTATGTATAGAAATGCATTGTCTGGCTATAGTGAGAGTGCCACGGTATGAATACTATGTTTACTATTAGCTTAGATTGTGTTGATTTTCAAAATGGTTAATGTGTTGTTGTTGTGTTTGATCACAAAGTCAACACTAGGTACTCAGCCATATACTCTAGCTACACATGTATGTAATCATGATGTTATACTTCATAGTATATTGAGTGTAGGTCTAATGTAAAATCAGTTATTGATTCTGTAAGATACCTTGGCTTTAGAACCTCTGACATTTAATGATGTTCATTTCCATCATACAATCAATATCTTACATAATGTCAGTTGTGCTGTGATAAACTGATAATGCAAGAATGTTGACACAATGCATGACTAACGATAGTTATTCTTGGCTTAATGAATGTTTTTGTTGTACATAAGTCATGCAAAGCTTTATAGTGAAATGTTTTTATGCTATATAGCTCTAGACAGCATAGATTATATTTGTTTAGCTTGAAGTGTATAGTCTAAGGTATGTTCTGGTTATTTCTTTTATCATTGGTACTTCATGTATCATGTCAACCGTTTTTTGGTTCATTACCTCCTCGTCCAACTACTGGTCAGTACATAGTTTTTGTAATAGACCTATCTATTGTATTAATAGGTGTCAGATTGTTTCTTGGTGAGGAGAATATTACTATTGCTAATTTCTCAATGATAGCTGCTGGTCTGATTCATGATAAAGATATAGATCAAGCTGATAATTCTATTGGTATTGGTTCTGATCCTGATGGTCAGAATGATGGTTTGTGGTGTCAGAGTTCTCTTAATCAGAATATGATAGGAACATGGTATCTTCCTGATGGAACAACTGTACCATTGGGTTCTGGCTATCCTCTGTTTGCTAACAACACTGCTACTGGTCAAATTGGTTTATTAAGAAATGGATGGTCTGGAAACATGCAAGGACTATACAGTTGCATTATACCAAATGAAGAAGGGATTGATCAGACACTGTATGTTGCTGTTTATGGTAATGACAATTTCCGTAAAAATGATGGTAAGCTTAAAATAATGATTATAATAATTTTATTTAATTTTCTCATTATACAGAGCTTCCAATGATTGATGTTAGTAGTCACTCCTTCCAGCTCCTCTCATCAGTTGATGCTGATCCTCCAGTGTTTAGTTTATCATTTAATGTCACTAATAGATCACCAACAATAGTCACTTGCTCTGTTGATAATGGAAACCAGTTTAATGTATCTGATAGTGATTTGATACATACTGTAACACCAGTTAATAATGATGTACAAGTAGAAGCATCAGTAATATTTAGAATGAGAGTGTCTAGCCTGTATAAATGTTTTGTTGCTACTGACAGAATTACAACTACACCTTTAGCATCTACTAATATGACAATAAGGAATGTTACTGGTAAATTTTCATCATTCTTTGATCATAATAACTTATGTCTTTCTTTTTCAAGTAACTGGATCTCCATCTAACTTGGTCTACAGTAGAAATAGTTTTCTCTCAGTTACACTAGGCTGGTCTCCCTCAGCAGTGATTAGTGCTACTCCTCAGTATCATGTCTTTGTTAATAACAGTAATGGTATTATTATGAATGACAACACTACAGATACTGAGCTGTCTCTCTCATTACATCCTGATGATGAATATAATATTAGACTAGTAGCTACTGGTGAAGACTTACCTAGTGAAATAATCACTGTTACTGTACCTCAAGGTATAGATGTGATATTTAATTAAGCTTGATAACTTTTTTATTATTCCAGCTGTCAGAATTGATGTACAAGGGCCAGTTATGATGCCATTGGATCATTCTTCTTCCTTTTCATTAACCTGCACATTGACATTAGCTCCTGAAGTTAATGATACTATGGTGGAAATGTACTGGTCAAGTCCTGATCTCATTCTCTTCAATTCTACAACTGATGGAGACATAGTTTTAGATACTTTAGAGCCTACAATGATATCAGTTAATGATAGTGTTGTATATACACTTACTATTAACTTCAGTTCATTGCAAGCATCACAAGTTGGAGAATATATTTGTGGAGCTCTACTGAATGATAGTACTGATACTATCAATGTAACATCAAATTATTCTGTATCTGTGCTAGGTATAGTTTAAGTATTGATAATTCACATTACTTTATATTTTGTCCATTCAATGTAGTATCTACTCCTGTGGTCACATCTAGTCTCAATACAACAGGACGTATTTTTGAGAGCAATGACATTCAGTTATTATGTACCATCACTATTACTCCACTGGATGTTAATCATACTGTTAAAGTAATCTGGTTTGGGCCTAATGGACTCATTACAATGAATGATGCTAAGTATAGCATTAGTACTGGGGAGATCAACTCAACAACTACTGGAAGTAGTTTAACATTCACTGCATCTCTATCAGATAATGGAACTGATTACTATTGTGCTGCTAGTGTTGGACCTGCTAGTATTGTGAATTGGTTTGAACTGATTATACCATCAGATACTGCTATATCAACTAGTGCTGCTGTCATTGTGGAAAGTAAGTTATTTAAATATGGTTTAAAATTTAATTCATTCTCTCCTAGTTGTACCACTACCATCAGTGTCAGTTAATGATGTTGGTATTCCAGTAACAGGAGACCCATTCCAGTTAGTGTGTACTGGAACTGCACCAGCTAATGTATCAAGTATTGCTACTGTTAGTGTTCAATGGCTTCTTAATGGTACTGTGTTTACTAATGATACACTGGAGGGAGTCACTGTTACTAATAGTGGGTCTATGGCCACATTATCATTCAGTTCTCTTAATGCTTCTACTCATGAAAGAGATGATTATACTTGTGTAGCTACTCTTAGTATTCCTGATGTACCAACAACTAAAACAGCAAGTGCTACTAATAACCTCCTAACATTAAGTAAGCACATGTTTAGTTAAAATAACTCATCTATCCATTTGTAGCTAATCCTATGGTCTCTGTATTTGCAAGTCAACCTGTTTTTGCTGGTCAATCATATTCATTAAACTGTACTGTCACAATAGTAGGTGGAGACCTCAATATAACATGGCTTGATGGTAATGGAAATGAACTGACAGAAGGAAATGAAATAAGTTTTAATTTAGTAACTGTTTCTAAGACTGAACAAAGATATGATTTGATATTTCATTTACTTAACTATGCAGACATTGGAGTATATACTTGTCAAGCTAGTCTTACTGTTGATGGAGATGGTGTTCTGTTTAATGGAACTGGATCTGCTAATACAACTGTTAGTATAAGAAGTAAGTCACAATTTACTAGTTTCACCATTTATAATTTGTATTTGCTCACACAGTACCAATACCACAAGTGTCTATTTCTCCTGATGGTAATTCTCCTTTTATTCGTGGAACTGTTAGAACTGTTAGCTGTTTTGTTGTTTTCACTCCTCCTTTACCTACTAACCCTAATGTCTCATTTACTGTCTTCAAAGATGATGTTCAACTATCATTTGAGAACAGTTCCAGACTAATAGCAGTTCAGACTGGAACTACTGGTGCTCTTATCTTTCAACCACTCAATTTCTTTGATGCTGGTAATTATACATGTACTGCTACAGCAAGAGATAGTGCTAATAATC